AGGGAGGGAGGGAGGGGGGAGGGAGAGAAACATCGGTGTGAGAGAGACACATCGATTGGTTGCCTCCCGCTTGCACCCCATCGGGGCAGGGGATTGAACCTGCAACCCAGGAATGTGCCCTTGACCAGGAATTGAACCCGCCACCCTTTGGTGCCCGGGCTGGTGCTCTAACCACGGAGAAACACTGGCCAGGGCGGGGTCCTCTTTATCTCCTGTGTATGTTAGGAAATGGCAGACGTGACTCACTCCAGAGCTGTGGCCACTGGATGAGAGGGAGTTTGAGGCTGTGAGATGGGCGGTGGGTAAGACAAGGGCCTTTAAGCTGAGTCCTCAGAGACGGCGAAGAAGGTAGAGAAGGAACGGGGTGCGTGCCTCTGTAGGGAGAGTTAGAGGAGCTTGAACACCGAGCTGCTGCAAGGAAAACATGTTCATGAAGGAACCTTGACTCAGGACTTCACTCCTCTCCCCTCTGCAGCGTGGAGGGAGGCGAGCTGTTTGACCGGATCATTGACGACAACTACAATCTGACTGAGCTGGACACCATCCTGTTCATCGAGCAGATATGTGAGGGAATACGGCACATGCACCAGATGTACATTCTCCATCTGGACCTGAAGGTAGAGCTTGTTTTGCTCCTGACCTTTCCCGGCATGTGGATCAGAGGCCCTATCAGATACTCTATACCAGCTCAGGACACTGACTCTGTCACTAGGTCATATTCAGGAATTAATAACAATCCAGATTCTTAACCTCATGTCCCCATTCCCAACTTCTGTCACCCACTAATATTTGCACTCTCCCTCTTTAGAGGCTACTCTTTAGATTCTTGGAACTTGCCTGTGCCAAAGGAACCCACATGGGAGATCGTTTCCCTAAAAGTTTAGAGTGGAAACCACCACCGCCATCACCAACACGTCCCCTTATTGTGCCCCTGTCATTATGTGTTAAGTACGTGGGAGAATTTTCCTAGGTCAACATACCCTAGTAGTAGCTAAACTTTCCAGCTCTCCAAGAGTCCCCAGCATTCTCCTTAAACTCATTCAGGAAGCTCTGGACTTGAGGGATTTGTTTTTCGACGGGCACGCTAGAGCACTGAGGAGAAACCAATGGCAGAATGGGACCCAGGGCAGCCAGAGGAGTAGTGATGAAATGCTAAGGAGCCGAGGAGGGCGGCGGGTTGGACACCACGCTGGAGATGGTGGAAAGCTTCTGTGAGCAGCGGGAATTGGTTTCTCTTTCATGAAGTCCCTAGAAGTGAACTGTACCTGGTTGCAACCAACGAAAGAGCCAGGGCCAGGAAACGACCAGCTCTGACACTGGGCTGGGCACCATGAAGCGGATCTCCCGCGTGGCTCAGCCATCTTCCCGTTGGCCTGTTTTCCCAGCACGGCAGTGAGACGAAGGATTCTATGTAACATGCCATCTATGGTAAATCATCAGGGGTTGCAGAGCTAAATACACTTAACTTCCTTGAATAGATTCCCATGGGCCTCTCTCTAACTTGTTTTCCCTCGCTGTCTTGATTTATGGACTCTGCCTCTCGAGTCCACAGGGCAGGAGTAAGTGGTACATAAAACAGCAAAGTCAGAGGTTAAAAATCATGAGCAAAGCTCTGGCTGTGAACTGAGTTGATAATGCGCGTTTTCATGGAGCATTTCATTGAGTGCTCGTATTCTGCAGATATCCCTAAAGGGATTTGATTGGCAGCTGGCGCTAGGACCTGACCTGTCGTAAGCCAGACAGCTCCCTGTGTGGCTTCATGACGCTGACTGAGGACTTGCAGTGGGTAATTTCAGCTCCAGCCTGTACGTGAAGTGATAAAGGCGGTGGCTACATGGGCCTCTAAGGACCACTCAGCCCTTCAGAAAGCTCCTTGGAAGGAAAACTGCCCAAAATCTTACGAGTGCCCGTCATATGTAAAGGAGATTAGCGGTGACTTTAAAACGCTGTCCTTTATATTTTCCTGTTTTACAAATCTTATCCAATAAATATGCTTTAATTCCCTAATTATAAAAAAATAACTTCAGAAGTGCCCTGAAGCTGCTGCTTCACATTCTGCAAACAAATTTTTTCTGTCACAGCCTTTGACAACTGGACAGCTTTATACATGATTGACCAGTTATTTAAGCATAAAACCAAATGTTCTTAGATGGCACCCACCTTTCTATAAATAGTTTTTAACTCGTGGACATCTGTATTAGAGATCTTTTAGAAAAGAGCTTCCAAAGCCGTTCTACCTAACCCAATGGACTATGCTATTTCATGAAGTGTTTCTGAGGATCTGATCTCGTCTGAACCCCCTCTCTACCTGGACAGGCTGGGCGGGGGCTTCCAGGGTCCCACCTAAGGGACAGGACATGCCCCCAGCAATCAGGGAAGATTCGAGATGGATTAGAGTTTGAGAATCTCAGAAAAGTTGTTGAAAATGTTCTCATTTATGGATAATCTGAGCTTTAAATCAAATCTCTTGTATTTCCCTGATCTTGGTTTTTCTGCCCTAACAAACGCAGGCATGTGTAAGACATTCTGTAGACACTCGGTTTCAGTGCGACTACCTGTTTCTCCCCCTTCACCCCAAGACTGTCAGGTCGGCAGGGCAAAGTCTTACCAGAATCAAGCTCCAAGGGGATACTTCGTCAAGGGTTTTAGGCACTGAGACCAAACTCCGTGCAACTTTGGAACTGCAGAGAATGAAGAATGAAATGGGGGGAGCCTTCCTTCGACACACGGCTTTTCTGTAGACCAAGCACATTCTAGTGCACATTCGGGTGGCTGTTTAAATGAATCAGGCCATTTCTCTTAGAACTCATAAATCCGTGGGTAAAACAGTCCTCCAAGAAGGGGAAATTCATACTTCATAATTTTAGGGGCAGATGTCAAGCTGAGACGCCCCCACAGTGCATCTGGAAGCACTGAAGCAGCCCCCTGTTCTTCCCTCGGGGAGGCCGGCCGCGCTCACACAGCACGGCCACGGCAGGCGCGGGGCGGGGCGCGGGTAATGCACATTTGGCATGGCACCCAAAACCTCGTCTACCACATAATTAAAGGGGAAAATACCCACGCAGACAGGCCAGCCCCAGAGTGAAAGGCCTGCTATGTTTTTCCTGAGCATCGTTGTATTTTTAGTTGTGGTTCAAGGACAATTTGAGTGAATGATGGTTGTTTTCATTGCTAATGTGTCTCTTTCTCCTGGCAGCCTGAGAATATCCTGTGTGTGAATCGGGATGCTAAACAAATAAAGATTATTGATTTTGGATTGGCCAGAAGGTACGTCTACTTGAACATAGGTGTATGAATGGAGTTGGGAGCATGACGGGTGCTTTTTCTTTGCAAAGATAAATCTGATAGATATACCCCTTGGTTTCAAACCCTCACTTAGATTTAATGTAACAAAAATTATGTTTCAGCTCTACCTTGCTGACTTGAGGGTTTGAATGTTTAGAAATTTCTACAGTGCATGCAAGAAAAAGATAAAAAGTTAAAACCTAATATAGTGAAGTTGTTAAATTTGAAAACATGAATTTAGAAACTTTAAGAGTTTGTCTTAGTCTTTCACATTTGTTCCATTTGTAAACAGATTTACTTTTAACAAATCAATAGTGTAAACAAGATTGCAAAGGGTCTGGCACATCTAAGGTTTTTAAGGGAACAAAGAGCTTACAGGGACCTCAGTACATAAGTGATGAACATAGAACAGATGTTGTAAATTATCACATTTAATTTATTCATTACTAAGGGCTTATTCAGTCCATCTACATGTCAAGGATCATATAGGTTTTTATTTGGTCAGATTCTATAATTCAGGTGATCTAATTGTTCTGAGTGGCTTTTCTCATAACCGCTTCAGATTATGAAGGTTTTACTGTATTTTATGACTTAAGACTCTTAGAACATCTTCACAAATTTTTGACAATGTGCGATTTCCTTTAAAGCTTATTTATTCTAAATTTCCCAGATGGCTGAAGTTATTTTGTCTATAGGCTGCATCTTTTCAATTTCCATGTTTTTTGATGGATGCTCTCCATCTCTCTGTGTGTCTTCTAAATTTCAGATACAAACCCAGGGAGAAGTTGAAGGTGAACTTTGGAACCCCAGAATTTCTCGCCCCCGAAGTTGTGAACTATGACTTCGTTTCCTTTCCCACGGACATGTGGAGTGTGGGGGTCATCGCCTACATGCTGTGAGCAGATCTCCAGGCCCTGCCCTGTATTCTCAATCGTCACGCATATTCTATGAGGTTTTGCTATTTTGAACAAAAGCTCTAATTTAGGTCTTTTAAAAATAAATAACACGGCACCATAGTAGGTCGCTTCCCAGGCTCTGTTGCGTACTGTGGGTGAAAGGAGTAAATTATGAAAAAGTACCTGTATATCTTCTTCTCTGGTCACTTCAACTCCTAGGATACCACCCAATGTCTTAAAAATAATTTAAAAAGCAGCCCTGTGTCCCCATCTCTTGAATGACTAATGCCAGCCTTACTCCCCAGAGGCCACACTCCGGTTTGCCACGGGCGTGTGTGGCGGCCCTTCTCAGCCGTGAATGCTGTAAGGGGGCCTGTGCTGGCCTGTGAGACACGCCATCAGGTGCAGCGGCCACCTAGTCGCTGCAGTGCTATAACGGGAGGGGGAAGGAGGAGGTAAAAAACAGATATATTATAAAATTATGTTTAAATATTAGGTTATTTGCTTTCTTTCAGCTTTAAATGACAGAAACACAAAAAGCAACATATCTGTAAAGGGTTTGAAGATGTTTTAAAAGATACTCACCCCGCACCCCATGTCTTGCAGACTTAGTGGTCTGTCCCCCTTCCTGGGCGATAATGACGCCGAGACCCTGAGCAACATCCTGGCCTGCAGGTGGGACTTAGAGGAGGAGGAATTTCAGAACGTCTCGGAGGAGGCCAAGGAGTTCATCTCCAAGCTTCTCATTAAGGAGAAGAGGTAACCCCAGCTCTTTCTGGGCTCCGGAGGAAGTTGGGGTGATAGAGGAGCAGTGTGCCGCCAGGGCTTTGGGCTCATGGCAGAGGACCGCTGAGTCCCCTTCGCGAAGTCTCTGATGCCGGCCCCGAGGTATCGGTAGGAAGCGCTCGATGCTCCTGGCCCAGTTTGCTGACATGTGGGACTGCCTTGGTGGCGAGGCTCGAGCGGAGCTGCACACATGACCCTCCTTTGCCTTTTGCAATAGGATCTAGCAATTAAGGGCTCTTGCTGGGCCTCAGCCGACTCACCCTCAAAATGAAGGGTTTGGGATGAGCTTTTCCAGGACCCCTTTCACATATGTGAAGCATGGATACAACTCTGTGTAGCTGAGCATTTAACTATCACTCAGTTGAGGACCTGCAACGGGCCAGACGGTTCCAGGAGCTTTACAGACATTATCTCTTTCAACTCCCACCTAGTTCCCTGAGGTGGAAAGATCGTGGCATTTTATGGATGAACTCTCAGGAGTTTGCCCAAGGTCATACAGCTAGTAAGTGGTAGAGCTATAACCAAACATAAGCCTACCTTCCCCGAGGCCATGCTTCACTGTTACACATTCAGGGGCCTTCTCTACTCTGCCCTGCTGACACAACCTTCACCTAAAGCCCAGCCAGCGGAGAGAGTGGGCTTGCCTTCTAGTACAGTAGGTAGTTTTTAAGATTTGCAGGGCTAACTATACTTGTGTTGTTTTATTATCTTTTTGGCTTTTGAGTCATTAATGAGCATGACTGTGAAGCAATATACAGGAGGGGGTATGGAGGGGCTGGTGACACACACCATGGGAAGAGTCCGGGTCTGGCGCGGAGCCTGACACACAGGAGGTGCTTCTCCTGGCCTACAATCTGCCAGAGAATGTGCTGTGGGTGTTGACAGGCGTGTGAAACCCAGTCCCAGCCCTTAGGTGACTCATGATCTAATAGAAGAGAGAGGTATTTTTAAAAAGATGTAAAACAATGTGAGTAATGCAGAGGCAGAGCATATTGACAGGGGCCAGAGCAGAGTCCAAGAAGGACGCGGGGGACTTACCGGGCTGGGGGCTGGGTCTGAGAGGAGGGTAAGGAGCAGACATGGGCTTTATCTTTGATGGGAGGCACACTTATGGAAAGCTGGTGTTGCTGTTATTGTTTATAACACTGAACGCTAAGCCGTGAACAGGGAAGTACATCAGCTCTATCAAATCTTTGGTCACATTTACTGAGAAACCTATTGAGAGACACAGTAAGTCCTCTCGTAATGTCATCCATAGGTTCTTGGAAACTTGACTTTAAGTGAAATGACATATAATGAAACCAACTGTACCATGGGCTAATTGACATAAACAAGAGTTAAGTTCCTATGGCATATTTCTGGTCACAAGAGCATTAACAAACTTGTTAAATGATGACCCAAAACACCAAAAAATAAAGGTGAGCTATGCATACATAAGAAAGATTAATAAAAACAAGGTAATGATTTTCCACCCCACTTATTCCAGTTCAGGGTCGAAAGTGTCTGGAGCCCGGAGCCCATCCAGTGGTTCAGGGCACAGGCGGGACCCACCCTGGACAGGACCCCCTTCCATTGCGGGCCTGTCACCCCCCCACACTCAGGTGGGATAGAATAGACATACCAGTCACCCATGTGCACATCTCAGGGGTGTGGGAGGAAACCGGGGTGTCCAGAGAAAACCCTCGCAGATGTGGGGACAGAGTGCCACGCCACAGTGGCCCTGGCTGAAATCAACTTTTTTCTCAACACTGTAAGGAAACGGACATTGAACATAATGACGTTACTCGAGGGCCCGTAGTACAGGTTCACATGTTATCTGATTTGATCGCATGGGGATCCCGAGGGGTGTGGCTGCTGTCACCAGTGTTACTGCTGAGCGAAGTGAGGCAGCCGGGGCCCTGGGGAGAGTCGGCTGGCCTGCTGCACTTTCCGGCCTGGTGCTGCTCCTTTCGTCCGCAGGCTTCACCAGCCCCTAAGGGGCAGCGAGTGTGCGTGTGGGCGCAATGACAACTGGCTAAGTACTCAAGTCAGTACTTGACATCAAATATTGGTATTATAGAATATAAAATACTCTTTCTCAGTATTTATATTAATTTTCCACCTATTTACTTGACTCCTTAAAACTTCTTAAATAAAAAGTTAGTAATACATATTATTCAACAGTTTAATACATACATTGCTTTTGCAAGCATCAGAAATCACTGTTGCATTTTGTTCTTACAATAACAAACATATGTTTAATTCTTCAGCTGACTGAGAGTTCAGTTTATGAAGCTTAGTCATTACACCAAGATTGACTACTTATATTTGAAAGTAGACGTTCAAGAATTTTGGATTTTTGCTCTGCTCTGTCTTGCCCTTGTTGTTACCCTGGTTGAATTAGATGGTAACCTACACAATGCTGACAATTCCCCAGCAGTCAGAGTGGATGAGAATTAGCACTGGGTGCCTGGTCTCCCAAGACAGTGGCAGAGCCCGGGCAAAGGGCAGGTGCAGGCCTGTCGGGTGTGTTCCCTCTAACCTCTGAATCCCCTTCAGCTGGCGAATAAGTGCAAGTGAAGCTCTCAAGCACCCTTGGCTGTCAGACCACAAGCTCCGCTCCAGACTCAGAGCACAGGTAACCAAGGCTCTTTGTTTCCTCTCCTGGTCGGCCTCGGCCTCTGATGACCAGATGCTGGAGGTACCTCAGCTTTAAGCCAGGTGCTTTCTAATTCCTTTTCTCTCAACCTTCAAATATTGTGCTAGTGTTAAATTGCTTAAAATGCTTTTATTGAGTAGTTTGTGTTGTTAAAATACATGTTAATTGTTATGTTTATTGTTAAATCGTTGTACCTATTATAAACTATACTATGCATCCCTACTTAAACACACATATAGCCTAGATTATATAAACATATAAAGTTTGGGAGATGATATGCTAATGTATGTTATTCCTCCTTAAAACAGAACTCAGAATTCTAGCTTCTATGCTTACCTGGTCTAGTCTGCTCTGGGCACCAAAAACTATAATACTCAGTTTGGTGCAGATATTAATATAAGTACGTGGGCAGGACACTCCCACTGGAGACTAGATGAAGATGACTGAAGTATTTGTTGAGAATAGTGGAGCCCACACCTGCAATAACTTCTTATAGTAAATTCCCCATCTACTCTCATTGCCTTAATTACCACTTATATTCTGATTCCCCCCCCGCCCACCTGTCCCTTGGCATAGATTTCTTCCCTAAACTTCAGGTGCACATATCCACTGTGTACTGGACATTCCACTTGGATCTTCTCCTAAACTGAGCTTGCCTCCCCCACCTCCCGTGGTCCTCAACCATCCTCCCAAAACACCCCACTCAGTGCCTAAACCAGACCATGGGCATCTTTTTTTACTCTCTCCCTCAACCCCCTCATCTCATGTTTAATTCATCTCCAAGTTCTGCACTCTATTTTCCCTAATTGTTTCTGGAATCCGTCTATCCCCTCCATCCCCATGGTTATGCTGGTCTGGGTCATCCCTCGCCTGAATGACCACAATAGCCTTCTCTAGACTATCTCCATCCAAATCACTATGGATTATACAAATGACAGAAACAGATGTGTAGCATTTATGTAACTCTACTAAACATTTAGGATGTTCAACTGGGCAGGATGCATTCAGAGCAATCAGCAGTCTGTGCCTTCGGGCTCACGGAGTGTAGGCCAGAGGCGAGCTGTCTGGGTGCCTCCGCCCGGGGTGCGTCTGAGGCACTCTCTCCCCCATCTCGGCTCCTCGCCCTCCCCACTCCCTGGGGTGGTGGAATGGAGCTTTTCCACTGACCAGCAAACCTTGGAATGACTATGCTTCAGGTTCTCATTTTTTCCACGTTCAGTTTTTATTGAAATTAACTTTGCTTCTAAATTCAGCATCAGTACTCAATTTTATTTGTGTCTGAATATACCTTTCCTTGATAATTGGTACTGATGTCAAGTAAAAATAGACTTATTACCTAGTCGGTACCTTACCCAGCCTACATAAACTGCTTATTAGGGTCAATGACTTATTTTGGGCCAATTTTCCACCAATGTATTTTTACTGAAGCTTATTGGTATCTAAATACACTTTGAGGTGGTAGGACAGTATGGAAACCACAGCAGATAATTAATGACAGTATACTGTTTAGAAAGTGTTCAAAAATATTTTTAAAACCATGTAATAACAACAACAAAAATCACCTTTTTGCTATTCTATCGAACTGCTGGGACCTAAGGTAGATAGATATTTCAAGAATGGTAAGAATTTAAAAAATATTCCATTGCATAAATCTAGTTGGTTATCATAAAAATTATAACCATCAGCACCATTCCAGGTGCTGTTCTAACTGCTGTACACATTTACCTCACTTCACCCTCGCACCTGTCCTCTGCATCAGGCGTGGTTACGATCCTCACAGGGTAACAGCTGAGGAAACCGAGGAGAGGGCGTAAGTACTCGTGCAGGATCCCACGAGGCAATGCCGAGCCAGGGTCGGGGCGCAGGAGGCAGGCTCGGGGGTCTGGGCAGTGTCCCTGCCCCGCTGTCCTGCTGGCTAAAGCGCTGCTGGGTGACGGGCCCGAGGATGTTTCCAGAATGAGTTGTGTACCATACAGTTTTATAAACTATTATTTATCTATTTTAATTGTTAAGCTTAAGAGCACTTTCTTTTTACCCACTCAGCGTGCCTCTATGCAGTCACTAAATTTAAAAGGATTTTTTTTCTTTGCTTCTGTATTAAGCTCAGGATGGTATATGTGGTTCTCAGCTTCTCTTGAGACCCCAACCATCCGTACATAACCCATCCTCCATCTGACTCAGCTCTCGGAGAGGAACAGAGCATCCCAAACCACAAATCTATTAGAACCCGGCCAGCACCTACCACAGACAATAAATGCTTTGGGGCCAATGGAAGGAAAATATGACCTGGCTTCTTTTCTCCCAGAGCTAATAAGCCTCTACCTTCCATTTCCAGTCCCAGCACCACTCCCTTAGCTCCTGCCCTTCTTCAGATTCACTGAACTAGTAAAACAACCCATGCACTGATATTCAACCTCCTCTGGCTCTTTTCTCTAACTCACAATCATAATTTCTTCAGTTACCACTCCGATCATATCACCCCTGATCAAACAGTTTTCAAGTGTGCACCGTGGTCCACGGCAGGCTCGGCCAGCAGTCCCGCCTGGCAGTGTGTCCTGACCCGCATCCAGCCTTGCTTCCACTCCTCCCTCCAGATCCGCCCCAGTCATGGCGACCATCTAAGGCCTATTTTAAATGCCACCTCTGTTAAGATGGGTCTTCTCAGTCCCCCAAATGGAGGTGCTTTCTCTGCCTTCCTGAGCCTCCCATGCAGCACCTAACTCTTGTCCGCTGGATTTGAAAACTTCTGGAAGAAGCAGTTTCTGTGTCTGACAGGCCTTTGTAGTCACCGCTGCCCCAGCTTCATCTTGACTCTGTGCTCTGAATAAGTGAACATGTCAAGGGAGTTTTGACAACACACACACACACACACACACGCGTGCAAAATGCAGGTGTCACCAGGTGCTAAGCTTTGCCCCTAACTGAGGGGAGGGTAGTGATGGCAGGGGCTCCAGAGGAGAGTGGGGCATGTCTGAGCTGGACTCACCATATCTGTCAGGGCTCCTTAGCAACTGGGCTTCGAGAGCTTGAAGAGAATGTTCTACTCAGTAACAAGTTATCGACTGCAGTGTTTCATAAGTCAAGGACTGAGGAAAAAACTCTGACCCTTCCCCAAATGTCCTCTGGTTTTCCTAGAAAAAGAAGAACTACTGCTCGGATGCTCAGGACCTTGTGGCCCAATAGTCTCCAGAAGGGAGCCCTTGCAAGGTTGGTCTCAGGTCCTCTCCTGAGGAGGTGTGCGTGCAAGCCTAAGAGAAAGCGGCTGTTTGTTGCACTGTGTGGGGAGCAGGGCGGTGTTCTGGCTGAGGTGGGGAGGGGGCGCAATCACACTGCAGCGTTTGCACCCCGGCTCTGCCATTTTCTAGCCCAGAAACCTCGATTTCCTGGCTTGTGGGTTGGGGACAGTATTACTTCCTAGGCTTTTGAGTGGCTCCAATGAAATAATCCAAACAAAGCCCTGAGGCTGGGCCTGGCACATAGTAGATGCTCAATAGGTGCCAGTAGCTGAACAGAAACTCCTCTGGTAGTCTTTATCACAGTTGTGCCAGGTCGGGGGAAGTAATGTCTGTTCTGCATGGGCAGGTAGACCAAGCCTCAGATACTCAAAGACTAACTCACTCCCCAAAGCCACACTGCCCGTCAGTGGTGGAATGCAGCCCTCTCAGTGTCTCCGAATCTAAAACTCACACCTTCTCTCTCTTCTGAGCTGCCCCCTGGTCTTCATCCAATTGTGGGCCCTGAGGACTCTACCCTGCTTAGAATTCTGTTAGAATTCTTTAGAGGGAGTTTTACATGTGAATATGCTCCATTATATCAGTAAGCTAGCCCCATTTATGCGCGAAAGGAGAAGCCTAGAAAGTGTACTTATTACAGAGGACTCTTAGAAAGCCAACATTATGTCCTTGTTGGGGGGCCATTTGCTCTCCAGCAAGTCAGCTCCCTAATCTTAGGCAGTAAGCCCATGGCCCTGTTGTCACTCAAGTTTAACAACTATGTAGGACCTAAAATTTGTGAACCTGCGTTGTTGCTGCCCTCTGGTCTCGGTCTTTTATTCTGTATCAAACCTGGCCGTCCTTGGGAGTTACAGCAATTAACAAATCACCGGAGTGCACAGGAGGCCACAAATGCTTGGCAGTCCGGCTGGGCACTGGCTCCGGTGTGGCCTGGGGCTGGGGACTTGGTGGCTCAGGTCAGCCTCACTCCCAGGCTGCCAGGGTCTGCCCAGCTCCTCTGATTTGTATTTATTCTGGTCTTGAGGTTTTTGTTCGTCTGTTGGACTGTGTATATTCTTGTAAGCTTCCTTGAATCTTCTATAGAGTAAGAACGGGTAGAAATAAATCAGTGTCATAATAAAAGTCACAAACCAGCATTAGAAACGCACTTGGCCTTTGGTGTAAGGGTCACTTACTTAGGAGCCTATTACTTATCTAGAAATCTATGAACAGTCACAGGAAGGCTTGCCCTTTGAGCAAGGACCTTGACTTTTTAGGAAGTATGTTGCCACACGTGCATAAAGAAGGGGCTCCCCCGCTCCCAGGCCGGGTGGCAGTGCTCACCGGGGCACCGGGGCCTTTGCCTCTGCTGGGAGCCCTGGGAGCCCAGGCCATGGGCAGGCAGTAGCCTCTGTTGCTCCTCTGTCTCTTCCCCCTTCCCCAGAAGTCCTTTTGTCCCCAGCTACCGCAGGCCCCGAGAGTTTGGCACAAACCACCTTCCCGCACAAACCCAGGAGTCATTTCTGAGGCCTGGTGGGAAGGGATTCACTGGGTGCCGGGGGCTGCACTGCCAGGAAGGCTGTCCCTGGGCGGGCTGGGGCAGGTGGGAGGCGTAAGGTCCTTCCACACCGAGTTAACGTGTTGACGCCAAGGCTGTGGAAGAGAGTGGCTGTCACTACACAGAGACCGAGACAAAAGGACTGAGCTGGCCACCCTGGCACAGGGAGGTAAGGCCCTCTTTGCGGGACTAGCTCGACCAGCCAGCTCTCTGAACCCAGCCACGTCTGCCTCCTGACAATCGCTTGGGCTGCCTGCCGTCCTTTCCTGAGTCCCTCAGCACCATCTAACCACAGAGAGTCAGTCACCTTGGTCCCCAGCAGGCTCGGACTGGTCATTGCAGGTCCACACACTATGGTTCCTTCCAAGTTCATTTTCTTAGTTTTTGTTTTCAGATTAAAATGAAAGCTTAAGATATGAACTTTGGGAGCAGCCTCACATTTTTGAAAAAATAGCTCATTCTTCACAATACTTCCTGCCAGCTAAGATGGGGTTTTTGGCAAGATCTATTATGAGTAAAACCAACTTTGAGATAATATTGATTTTAGAAATCTGGTGGTTGAAGATTATTTCTGTGGAAAAAGTCTGACTTCCAGGCCCCATGAATAAGGCATAATCCACAATGTAAACTGTGGCATATAAATTTCCTGCAATTTGTTAGAGGCTTTTTGATGCGTTGAGGAAACACCCTAAAGATCTCTCTAGAAATGGGGGCATTTCACTGTGTTTCCACCACATCTTTTGCTGGCCGTGAGGTGTCTGTTTGGGACCTCCTCAGATCCATAGGAATGATGTAGGGCGAGGACGGTGTGGGGCCAGGTCAGATGCGGGGCTACAGCAAGTGGAAGTCTCCCCGAGACCCGCAGCCCCACTTGGAGCTGACAGAGTGGACCGTGGCAGCAGCCCCGGAGGGAACAAAGAGGCCTTGTCCTCCGACGTGGCAGAGAGCACTAAAATATCTTGCATAAACTGAAAACCCCAGCCCCTCTCTGGTAAGCATTTGGAACCTTCAAGGGGTTCTTTTTCCCTCACATGCACACACACATTATAAAAACCGTGTGTGGTTTTCCTAAGGGCACAACCAACTAATTACAATTTTAAAAGCCCTGTTGAATTAACAGGAGTCATGTTTTGCTTGCTTTGCAGGAAAACTGCTGGGGTGGCTGCTGCTTTGAGATTTTTGGAAAAATCAGCAGTTCTGATGCCTTGACCTGGACGATGACTGACGGCCTTGGGGGTGCGGGGTCCTCCGCTCTTGAATTCGGAGCCCCTGGTCCCAAGGGGACCCCCGCGCTCTGGTCCGGGGCACAGGCCAGGCGGCGCCTCTTCCCTCGCCGCCCACGCCCGTGGTAGTGCGCACGGGAGGAGTTCCTCCATCTCGAGTTTTTAGTTTTTATGCTTATTTCTTGGTTTTAGTCACGGGACATTGGTGCATTATCTCTGCTATTCCCAGTTTTTTAGCACAGCCGTGCTGGAGATTTGCTTAAAACCTGGAGGATGCATTTGGAGGGAGAAGACTGCTTCCAGTCATTAGGGGTGCCTCTCCGAGGGGTGATCGTGTCGCCGGGAAAAACGCAAAGTCGGGGCACCCTGAACACGCGCTTCCCTGATGTTATTAGTTTAGTTTGTTCTGAAACCCGGTGAATTCAACTGATAAATAATTTGCTTTCTCTGAAGTCCGAGGACAGGCAGGGCCCCGCCGCCTCCGTCTCCTCCCCGCTGCGCGCCTTCCCTGCGCCGGGCGTGGCCGG